CTTCCACTTTCTTCTCCTCAGCTGGGGCAGCTGCTGTGGAGGGTGCAGGACCTCCTGCCGGTGCTGCACCAGCTGCTGGAGCAGGCCCACCAGCCCCTACGTTGCAAATGAGGCTCCCAATGTTGACATTGGCCAGGGCCTGCAACACATGGGTAAAGGCTTAGTCCTCTTTTTTTGTATAGCACTCACTACAGCCAAAAAATAAAAATAAAAGTACTCCTCATTTCSATATAACAGTAACCAATCCCCAATATACTTTTCTTCCTGCTATACTGGAAATTTCCTTTCATTGTCTGTCAGTAACATCTAACTTTTCAACCCCAAGACTGACTTCTCTCAGAACAATGCATACTACTATATAAATGACATACTGTTCAACTTTAAATCTCATACAGTATTTACATTGCTGTATAGGTAGAAAGATACAGCTAACTGAACATCTTCCTTTATGAATGAGATAACTGACCCAAAATATTTTGTTGGGAGAAAATTAAAGGTTCATGAAACACTCAAAACAAGATTCTTTCCAGTCAAATGACTCCTCTTAACAGTGCAGGCTGMTAAGGTAATTTAGGATTTTTATTTACTGGCATGGCTATAACATTTCCAATCTTTCCAAACTCTGTGGAGGACACAGCCCTAAGAGATGCTATTATTAGTTTCACTTGCCAGATATTAAGTAACCTGTACATGTAAGTCAGCCAGTTACGTTCCTTGGGCAAGAACCTTAGTCATTTCTATCCCAACACATATTAAGTAGTCGATTAAAAGCAACTAAACTACCAAAAAAAAAAAAAAAAACCCCTACCACTATACTGTAAGAATTTCCATGGAATAACATGAATATTATTTATCTCATTGAGAGGATTAACTGGTTAAGAATTTTTTTACTATATCAGAACAAAAGGAATGAGAAACCAGTTAAAAACACAAAAGGCGTGCTCTTTAGCTCCTAAAGATAGAAACATGTCAAGATACTTAAAGTACACTGACATGTATACCTGACCTAACAAATTAGTAGGCCTTCCCAAACACTTGTCATCAGCACCTTACCTTKGCAAACAAACCAGGCCAAAAAGGTTCAACATTTACACCAGCTGCTTTAATGAGGGCATTGATTTTATCCTCCTGAAACAAACAAAATGCCAATCCATCAGACAGCAAAGTGTAGGTAAATGTCTCGAAAATACTGCCCAGTYAAACTGAAGTCACTTAAAAACTCATCTTCACAACCAGTTCGGATGTCCTGTCTGTATTTCGTGAATGCTTCTTCTTAAAAGGATTTTCCTTACATTACGGTTACTACCAGCCAAAGAAGAGCGCACTCGGCGTCTAGCCACGCGGCGAGCCCAAGGCCACAGTTCGCTTGCTGGGCCTTGCCCGAGTCACAGACATTTTGTGTCAGGAGACCAGGGAGCGCTCCTGCCCCGCCTCACAGGCCTATTACGACCGAAGGGTTTCGAGGCAAACGGATCACATCTAAAGCAAAAATTTTTGTGTGCGCATTGGAAGAAAGTGCGGCGCAGAATGTCCAAGCGCCGCAGAAAAGGGATTCTATGGACTCAAAGCCGATGTGCCCAAACGCAGGCACACTCCGGGCCCGCACGTGGCCGAGACCACAGATCGGCCGGCACTGCGCCGGCCATGCGGCAGCAAGATGTYGGCGGCCTGGGCAGGCCTTAAGCACCAGGCCTGTCCACGTGGAGAACTGGGAACCAGTCGTTCTGCCTAATATAGGGCGAAGGCGAGGGTGGCCGCGACCCGACCGGAAGAGCTAGGCCTGACCGCCAGGAGGGCGAAATACGGGGCTGTACTCACCGTGACGGTCACCTCGTCATCGTGCAGGATGAGGGCAGAGTAGATGCAGGCCAGCTCGGAAACAGAGGCCATGGTGCTGACTGTCGGGCGCGGTGCTAGTCGCCGGATGAAGTGAGGGCCTCACCCCAACGCGGCCTTAGCTTCTCGGAAGGACCGAGCACCTTGGCGGCACCTGAGGAAAGAAGGTAGCGCGCTTGCGCGAAGTCTCTTATACAGCCGCGCGAACCAATCCGCACCCGCGCTGGGCGGAAGAGGCGGGGACAGGGACGCTCCGAGGAGTCGGCGCGTTCTGTTTCCCAGTGCCAGTTTGGGCAGGCTTCCTTGATTTGTGGGGATCSTAGAGCTCGCGGACGTTAGGAAAAGTTCACCTAGGGAAACCCGCCCTGGTGCTATAGAGCCTAGGCTCCTTTGCTTGGCGGAGCTCTACAATATTTCTTTGACGCTATTTGGACAATCACTTAATTATGTCTCCAGCCTACTCCAGCCAGTAGTGATCTACAGGGCAGGAGCTAGCTGACTTTCGGGAGGTCCAGGGACTTAACCCATCTTTCTGATAAACTAGATAAATATAGGAAGAAAGGATCCAAAATAAAATATTAGACCGAATCCAGAACTGAATATAAAAATGTGGGATATCACKACTAAACAGAGTAGTTCATCGTAAGAAAATCTAAAAATAACTTAAATCACAGAGGAAAATCYATATATAGAGAGAATTCTTACAGATTTAAGAAACCACTTGATAAATAACTATTCACATAGACACTTAGAAAACTGGAATACAAGTTAACTTCCATATCCTGATAAAGGGTATCTTCCAAAATCCTTAAGCAAACACCATACTTAATAGTGAAATATTCTTGGGCTGTGGATATAGCTCAGTAGAGTGCTTGCCTGGCATGCACAAGGCCTTGGGTTCAATCCCCAGTACCACCAAAAAAGAAAAAAAAGAAAAATACTCAAATGTTCTTTTCAAAATCAGGAACAAACATGCCTTGTTTCTATTTCAGTTTCTGTTTAAAGTTTAGACATCTCTGTAAGACAAGAAAAAAGTATGAAATTTTGAAAGGTATGGACTGTCATTATTCATTGATAATATGTTTACCCTGAAATTCCAAGAGCCCATGGACATACAGTTCAAACTTYTAAGTAAATGAGCAAAGTTGCTAGATTCAAGATAGATATACCAAACCCATAATTCCTGTACTCAGTCAATTGTAAGATGCAATATTAAAAAATATGCCTCTGCTTAGAGTGGAGCTTACTGGTAGAGTGCTTGCCCAACATGGGGAAGGCCCTGAGTTTCATCCCCAGCATGGAAAAAAAAAAAAAAAAAAACCTTATATAATAACAATAAAAACAAAGTGAATTCTAGAAATAAGTCTTAACAAGATGTGAGTGACTTTTTTTCTTTTTTGCATGCTAAGTAAGCATTTTACCACAGAGCTGTACCCCSAGCTGTGACCAGTATTTTTAAACTCATAAAACTTTATGCAATATCAAAGGCAACTTAGAGCAATATGCAATGTTCACATATAAGACCCTAAAGTGAATAATTCTTGCCAATTAAATCAAAATTAAATTCCAATCAAAATTTTATTAGGGGTTTCAATAGAATTTAACAGGATGGTCAGACATGGCAGCACACACTATAATCCCAGCAACTGGGAAGGCTGAGGCAGGAGGACAGCCAAGTTGAAGGCTACCATGGGTAATTTAGAAAACCCCCTCCCAAAAAGACTGGGGATATAGCTCAGTGGTATAGAGAGCTTACCTAGCATGAGTGAGGCCCTGGGTTCAATCCCCAGTATTGCATATAAGAAAGAAAAATCCTTTTTTTTTTTTTTTGAAACTCTAATGTTAAATATTTTTTTCTTTTTCTTTTTTCTTTCTTT